CTTCGGCAATTATACATATTTATTTTGTTCTTCTGGCATTGTTGTGGGTTATGTTGGAATCTAGCAGTAAACGTAATGTTTTGAGTGAATGTCTAAATGTGATGCAATTGTTTGTCATCTCTAAGGTAGACGTTAAACATTCTTTAGCTTTCTTGAAGGTAAATGGTAATACTTGGAAGCAAGCCTTAGCATTACATATCGTTGCAATATATTCACATCTGTCGTTTATAAGGCTTCACAAAGTTATTTACTTTAACATTTGCTGAAGTAGCTAAGAAGCCTTAGAGATTATACAAATTTGGTTAAATGATGAACAATACAGGGTACCATATCGATAAGTCTCTCGATTCATCAAGGAGAATTATCATGAAAAAAATCTTAACAGATTCTATCAAAAATCTGAGATAAAAAGCTTTGAGTTGGTATGGTACTGGTGGAGCTATGTTAGCTGATGCAATAAATTGCCTAAAAAAATTCAATCGCACGTGCGTGATTATTACCTTTGTTATTCGTCTGTCGATTCACCCTCATCTGTTCATTCACGTGCTTTGTCTATCCAATCAACTCCTATATCAAAGTCGGAATCTTCTGATTCAGTTACTCCGCTAGAGATGATTTTGATGTTGTCGAAGCAGTAATTTTCAATAGTCCGGAACACTGCTATCGAAACTGTATGTAACAAAAGCCCTAGAGGTTTTCGATACCTTTTCAGGATTAAGTGCTGAGTTGTGTCTCGCAACAATCTTGTAGATGGATTAAAATCTATGAATTTGTTTAAGGAGTTGATTTCGATGAGATAGAAGGGTGTAGAGATATTAATTACCTCCACATTAGGCATTGTTTCGTCAAAGTTCCTTAATTGAACATCTTATAGCAGTTCATTTATCTGGCAATGGGAGTTGTAGTAGTGAAATTTGATGTGCTCAAAGTTAGCAGTGGACTTGCAGGTGTCGTTCTTCCGACACGAATTCTTCATTCATGTGTTGCTATTTGGGTAGTTGTGTCTGATGCT